ATTGTCTATTAATGATCTACGCTTAGAAAAGCTACCTAGGAGAAGGACTATGTTTCGTGCACAGTGCCTGGCCCACACAGGAAGCTCTCTGTACACCACAGTATCCATTGCCGTAATTATTCTTGCTCTTGGACTTCAGACCTGGTGACGAAGGTAAATCCCTCCTGGAGAAGGCTTTGTTGCTCTGTGACTACTTATTGGATAATTCAGGGCTGGGTCTTTGTTCTGCCCATACAAGTAAAGAAGGGACATTCTAAGCATCTCTCCCCCACCCACCTCTGCCTTCAGACTTCTCCCCCACTGGCCTGCCCTCCCTCTCAAATTCCATCACTCGCCTTCCTTGGGGTATTATCTCTGAAAGCTCCCGATAACAAGCACGAGGAACAGCACATTAAACTATGGGTTGGTTAGCGCCCCTGCCACAGTGCCCTGGATTGCTTTGAGACGTGGACATGCGCTGTTTTGGCAGGGGCTGCGTGGCATCCCACCCCCTTCCCTTTCCCGGAGGTTTTCCCCACTGTGGGATGCCAGTCACACGGGGGTATGCCGGAGCACGGCTCACCAACCCACTGGCACTAATTTTTAAATACTCAGGAATCTTTTGCGCTGGCTGTTAAATGGTTGGCAGATAAAAAATCAGTCATGCTGGGTGTGGTGGTGTGCAACTATGGCCCCAGCTACTTGGGAGGCTGAGACAGGAGGATCACTTGAGCCCAGACTTCTGGGCTGTAGTGCGCTATGTCCATCGGGTGTCCACACAATATGGACCATGAATCAATATGATGACCTCCCACAAGCAAGGGACCACCAGGTTACCTAAGAAGGGGTTAACCAGCCTCAGTCAGAAATGGAGCAGGGTAGACTTCCACGCTGATAAGTGCTGGACCCCATCTGTGAATAGCCACTGCACTCCAGCCTGGGCAACATAGTGAGAACTTGTCTCTTTCTTTCTCTCTTTCTGTTTTTTGGAGACGAGGTCTTGCTCTGTCACCCAGGCTGGAATGCAGTGGCACGATCATAGCTCACTGCAGCCTCAAACTCCTGGGCTCAAGCGTACCTCCTGCCTCAGCCTCCTGAGTAGAGGCTCCATCTCTTAAAAAAATATCACCCATGGTGAGAATGTTTTCACCATAAAAGTCAGCAAATGCTACAAATCAGTTTTTCCCCTGGAGAGCAGCCCACCACCAGACACACCACCTTAGCCAACTAATATCCGCTGAGACCTTGCATCTCAGGCAAGTGATCCAAGACACAGGGACAAGACAGAATCCATTACAGCAGCAGCATCTGGCTATGGAAGAGGTAGCTCCCAAAGTGGTGGCAGTGCCCAGGGATCCCAGAGTCAGCTGTCCCTCCCTGAAACACCTTTGGCCAGATCTTCCTCCTGCCTGACTTTGTTGTTTCCTGCCCAATTTCCAAGCCTTCTCCTGCCTTCCCATCAATTTCAAGAGCTGCCCTTATCGGCTATGTCAACCAGACCCAATTCCTGCCTCATGCAGATTAGTCATTTGGTAGACAGAGCCCCCTGAGGAATGAAAGGAAGCTCTCCTTTTGACTTCTCATGAAGGGTTGCTTGGGCCAGGGCAGCCTGGGCTCATTCACTTAGCAAACATTTATGAAGCACCTACTGTGTGCATTGTCCTACTACCAGGATATGGAGCTGAATAGGACAGGCACATCCCTGTCCCCAAGGAACTTAACATCTATCAGATAGAAAGCAGCTATCAAACAAGTAATTATGCGTTCTCCAGTGACTGTGCTGTCATCACTGGGTTAGACCAACCTGTTGATGAATATTTGAATCCTGCGATGGGTAAAATACTGTGCAAGGTACAAAAGGAGATACAGAAAAAAGTGAAACAATCCGTGTCTCCCTTCCCGAGTTTACAGTTTAGCTGGTGAAATAGTTATGAACTCATGTAGCTGAATAACCTTCCAACACGAGTGCCCACTCATCAGGGGTGTGGGGCGCTGGGGCTTCCAACACCGGGATCAGGAAACACTTTGTGCAGAAAGTGGGATTTGAGCACAGCCTTGACAGTGGTTAACAAAAAGGAAAAAAAAAAAAGAGTTCAATAATACAGAAATCATACCTGTAAAATTAGCTACCTGAAATTCTACCGCCCAAAGGCGACAACAGTTAGTGCTGCCACGAAAGCCCTCGGCATAGCTGCGGGATCCTGTTGTGCACACTGCTGTATAACCAGCTGTTTTCACTCACACACTAGGTCATGGACGTTTTTCCATGCCAATTATTCCCAATCTACATCACCGTTTAAGCGGCCGGAGAATATTCCATTATACGGATGTACTCTAAATCAATCAAATCCCCATCGATAAACATTTAATGTTGCGGTCAAGGGCACAGACTCCGGAGTTCCACAGTCCAAACGCGAATCCTGGCTCTGCCACTCCCGGCTGGGTGAGGGTGAGTGGAGACCTCCCTGAGTGCAAGTTCCTCCTCTGTGAAACGGAGGCACCGCCATCTCTCCGTATCTGGGGGATTGCTTCCGGGACCCCTATACCCACACAGGCAGATGCTCAAGTGCCTTATATAAAGCAGTGTGGTGTTTGTATATAACCTATGCACATCCTTATACTTTAAATCATCTCTAGATTACTTATAATAACTGATGCAATGCCTATGCGTCGCACTTGGCACACAGCAAATTCAAGATTTGTCTTTTGGAACTTTGTGGATTCTTTTTCTCCTAAATATTTTCCATGCACGGTTTGTTGAATTCACAGATATGGAGGGCTAATTGTTTTAATAATACCATACCCACTGCATAGGGATGTTGTGAGTAGATATTTGTAAGATATTTGGAACAGTTTCTAGCACACAGTAAATGCTAAACTAAGGCCAACTGTTGTCCCTGTCATAGGCAGGGCTGTGATAATCCTCTGCGAATGCAATGTCCATCCTGTGCACTCTCCTAAGTACCTGCTTAAGATAAACACCTAGAAGTGGAACGAAATAGTCAAACTACATAGATTTAAAATCCCGATAAATATCATCCAACTGCCCTCCAGCAAAGTGCTGACTGTGGGTTGGCAGGAGGCACCGAGAGAGGAATCCCCTCCCTCCTGATTCGGGCACTAGGGACCCACACAGGTCATCCACAGACCGGCCAGAGAGGTTTCCTCACTTGCCCAACCTTCTGGGTGGCATTCTGCACTACAACGCAGGAGGGAAATTAACAGCAAGTCAGACTCTCTCACTTTGATTTCTAGAAGGAAAGCTACAGTTGAGGCCATGTTCGAAAATATAGGTCAAAATCGGTTTCTGTGGTTACCAAACACCGTCAACCACTAGTGACTCCCTCCCTCGAGGGTGAAGCCAGGGCTTCGAGGCCTGGCAGTCGGGGCTGGCTCCCCTCCAGCGGCGCCCCCCGCGGTCCCAGACCCGGCCGGGCCCCGCCGCCCCGCGGGCCGAGGGGTCTGCTCCGAGGCGCGCGGCGCTGCAAGGGGGCAGGGGCGCGGGCACCCTGCCCTGCACGTCCTTTGGTCGGGGGCAGGAGGGCTTGGCGGCGCTGCTGATGGGGTCCGGGATCGCCCTGACCTCCCCCGCCCCGGCGGCCCTGCCTGCTCGCCCGCCCGCCCGACGCCCGCGCCCGCGGCTGCAGGGAGCGCCCCGCCTGGGCACCGGCCGTGCCGCCGGAGGAGGGAGGAGGCCGGGCGCCGCGCGAACAATGTGGTCGGTTGTTTTGCCGACTGTCAGCCTCGTTCCCGGATCCTCCTTTCCACGCCCCTTGGCCTAACCGCCACAGGCCCAGCACGCAGCGGGAAGAGCCCCCTTATTTGGTCTTGGAAAGAAAGGGGAAAGGTTATCCTCAGATGCCTGCGGCGTTGGGTCATAGGCCCGCAGTTGTTGGCCCGCACCGGCGCGCAGTCCCGCGTCCCGCCGGTAGGTGGCGGCGCCGCGCAGCGCCTGGGAGCTGCCCAGCCTGGTAAACAAGCCGCGCAGGTTCCGGTACCGCGGGCCCGGGCCGCGTGCGTGCGGGCGGGGCTGCGGGAGGGGCCCTGGGCTGGGCAGTGAATGTGCGGGTGGGGCGGCAGGAGGGGCCCCGGGGCGACGAGTGTGCGGGTGGGGCGGGCGGCAGGAGAGGCCCCGGGCCGCGAGTGTGCGGGTGGGGCGGGCGGCAGGGGGGGCCCCGGGCCGCGGGTGTGCGGGTGGGGCGGCGGGAGGGGCCCCGGGGCCGCGTGCGTGTGCGTGCGGGTGGGGTGGGCGGCGGGAGGGGCCCCGGGTGTGCGGGTGGGGCCGGTGGCAGGGGCCGCGGATGTGCGGGTGGGGCGGCAGGAGGGGCCCCAGGCCAGAGTGTGCGGGTGGGGCGGCGGGAGGGGCCCCGGGGCCGCGTGTGTGCGAGTGGGGCGGCGGGAGGGGCCCCAGGCCAGAGTGTGCGGGCGGGGCGGGGCGGCAGGAGAGGCCCCGGGCCGCGAGTGTGCGGGTGGGGCGGGCGGCGGGAGGGGCCCCGGGCCGCGGGTGTGCGGGTGGGGCGGCGGGAGGGGCCCCGGGCCGCGGGTGTGCGGGTGGGGCGGGCGGCAGGAGGGGCCCCGGGCTGCGGGTGTGCGTGCGGGTGGGGCGGCGGGAGGGGCCGGGGGCCCGGGACGAGGGCAGCGCAAGAGCAGAGGAGGGAAAAGAAAGAGGGTGTGTGGGGGGGACCTTTTTTATGGGCTTGTGAAGCTTTCCAAAATTGGAAAATCTGCTTCGGTTGGAGGGTGTGACTTTGCCGTGTCGCCGTGAGTGCTGCGTGGCAGGCGGGATCAGTTCCAAGGTCATCCGTGCCCTGGGTGCACGTTCCCTGACAGGTACCCGCGTACCGTGCTGCGTGGGCACTAGTGCCAGCTTGGGTACTTTCTTTGCTTCCCCTGCCTTTCTCCCCTCTCTAAGTCCTTTCCCTCTTCCTCCTCCTTCCGCCCTGCCTGTCCAGCCTCTCAGGTGAGCCGGGGTGCGGAGCGAGCCACCTGCTCTCCTGGGGCCCGAGGATGGAAGCCAGGTTGCCCCTGCGCAACCCTGTTATTCCCCAGTGGCGGTCCTCACGCCGTCCCAGCAAGAGAAGAATTATCATCGCCATTTTACCCGGACCCAGCCCGGCGGTAGGTGGCAAAGCTGGGATTTGAACCCTGGTCTCTCACACTTCAAAGCTAAGGCTTGTTCCCCTGCTAAGATCACATGACCTCGCCTATGACTCCTCCAAATAAAGCTCGCATGGTATGTGTCATTCTCTAAAGACCTTTAAGAAAAAAAAAGAACCAAAACAGAACAAAGCGAAAGCCACGACCACGTGGAGGCGAGTCCATGGCACGAACTGCTCCTCAGAGGTGGCGCGGAAGGCAGGGGACATTAGTTTCGCTTTAACGTCCCCAGGCGCTTGTACATCTCCAAAGAGGCTCTGGGGTGGCGTCCTGGCACAGCACTCCTTGCTCCACAGAAGGCTCCAAAGAGGGGCCTGGCAGGCGGGGAAGCTGTTGCTAACTTTTATTTTCTATTTTAGGCAAGTTTCAAGCAGCCCTTTTGTTTGCTTGCGCGTCCCACGCGCCGCCCCCCCTTCCCATTGTTAGATCCGTCTCCTGAGGGGGCCACCAATAATTTTCACTCGGAACACCTGCTTCGGGTTTCTTCATCTGCAAAGAAATTAATTTTCCAAGTCACACAGTTATAGACAACTTTTTAAAGAGTTACTGAAGTGACAGTTTCATTCTTACCTTAGATTAGATGGTGCCAGTTTTTTTAAAGAGAAAGAAAATTTGTGTGAACAAAATTAAATCCAAAAAAAATGTGGTTTTTCTCTAGCTCTCTTTTATTTTTTTGTGAAATAGTAAAAAAGAAAAAAAATAAGCCGCTTCTACCAGTTTTGGGGGGTTTCCAGGTTTCCAGGAATTTACTTAGCTTGATATACAGTATATTTCTGTGGGAAAATTATAGCAAGACTATCTTGTAGATCATTACTTTCCAGCATTGTTTTATTGGTTAAAGTCGGCTCCACAATACGGACAAGTTGGGCAACGGTAGTGAAGCCTCCCATCCTGAAGCTCAGGCCCTGCTCATGACTGAGCCCTCTGTCACCCACCCCTCACTTGCCACTGCCACCTGCCAGCCACGAAGGCCAGGCTCACTGACCTTGGCTATTTTACTCTGCTAGACAGGTTTTCATTGAAAACCAGCACTGCAGTGCAGATGGAGGCTGGGTTTGCCCTGACATCCCGGAGCCCAGGTCCCCATCCCAGGGGCCAGGAAGAACCTTAGTAGGGTCAGGAATGTGGCAGGGTGACCTCTGCCTTTTCCCTCCCAGATACTCTGGCAAACTGGAGTGCGGTGGTCTCTAACACCCTCGCTCTGCACTTCACCCTGAGGTTCTCCCCACCACAAAGCTGTCCCCAAATCTTGATATGGTTCCATCCGGTGTCATGGATTCTGCTTTCTGTTTATGTCTTGAGGGGAGTGGAGCCCAAGGAATGTCACACTGTGCCACCATCATCTCAGCCACTGCCCGTTTGGAGGGGCAGTGGCACCCAGAGATGGAGTGTGGACTTCAGGGACAGAGCTGCGCAGCCTTGGCCACACTCCTTAAACTTTTTGCGCTCCAGCCGTTGTGAGCATTTAACACAGTGTGTGGCCCACGGCGAGCACAGGAATCCTCAATGTCCTAGTGTAGCAAATGCTTTAACAATATGATAGATAATAATACAAACAGAATACATAATACAATATACATATAACAATATGAATATGTGTGTGCACATATATGTGTACATTTATGCGATTATAATATAAAGACTTATTTTAAATGTAAAAATGCAGTAGAGTCTTACTGAACTTACTGAACTACAGATCCCCGGAGGCCCTTAATGAGAGTCACTACACACACAACTATAAATAAAACATTACGAATCCTCTCCGAGGGGGATGCCGGGCTGTTGACTCGGTTTGGTCACGAGCTGCGTGATGATTTGTTCCTCACACCAATCTGATGCGATTCAAACTGGCGCCTGAGCAAATTGACAAATTATTAAATGTCATGGACCTTTGGTCACTTCTCTAACAGTCAAGCTTGAGAACTGTCACTGGACCAATTCTAAGGTGTTGCTTTCCTACCATTAAGTGCCCCCATTAGCTGAGGGAGAGGCCATCCCATGTTCAAGACTGAGGGTGCCACCAGACACCCCAAAACTGGTTGGAAAGTGGGTGAGCCTCCCATTATAAGTGTCAGGAGACTCCCAAGTGTCCAGGGGAGTCTGCCGACACTTTTGCCTCCCACTGAGGCTTGCACAGCACCATGCCCCACCCAGCACTGTCTCCTGTCGCTGGGCGGAGACTCTGGATCCCCCATGCACAGAGCACTCAGGATGTCAATCAAGGGTGTCCATTTGTCCAAGAACACGTCAATGTCTTTCCCACCACCTGAGCAGAGAATGGGTAAAAACCAAGGCTGAACAGGTGCTTGCATCTCTGGAATGAGTCCCCTCCCATTTGTCTCTCCTCGTTCTCCGACCTCCAGGCACTGTCCATTTGTTCCTCGGGTGCCCTGCTGTGCAGGGCTATTTTGAACCTGAGGATGGTAACAATGGTTGCCAGCCACAGTCATGCATCATTTAACAACAGGGAGACAGTCTGAGAAATGCATCATTAGGTGATTTCAACATTGTGCAAACATCACAGAGTGTACTGACATGAACCTGGGTGGTACAGCCGCTACACACCTAGGCTGTGTGGCATGGCCTATTGCTCCCGGGCTACAAACCTGTCCAGCATGTGACTGTGCTGAATACTGTCGGCAACTGTAACACAATGGAGAGTATCTATGAATCTAAACTTAGAAAAGGCACAGTAAAAATATGATATCATGATCTTATGGGACCGCCATCATATATGCAGTCTGTTGTTGACCAAAACATCGTTATGTAGCAAATGACTGCACTGAGCATTCACTACATACCAAATTCTTTCATACAGGATTTTATTTCATCCTCTAACAGCCCTGAGAGGTCAACATTATTAGCTTCATTTCACACAGAAGGAATTGGGGCTAAAGAGGTCATGTTGTCACTCACCCCAAATCACACAGAGAGGAAGTGGATGAAAGCAGATTTTGTTCTGGGCCCCAGTCATGCATCTTTTCATTTATCAAGTAGCGATGGAGTATTTACTAGGTGCCAGTGCTGGGGCCTGGGAATTTAGTGTGGAGCAAAACAGACTGGACTTTGCTCTCAGAGAGTTTAGAATCAACTGGAAAGACAGATATTAAAAGAGTAATCATAATGCTTATTATATCAAATTACATGTCATGCTATGAAGAAGAGCACTTAGTGCTACAAAGCATGTTAACAGGGAAATCTGTCTTCACGAAGGTTCCTCCAAAAGCTGACCCTGAGACAGGATTTGGGTTCAAGGAGTTCATCTGTGAGGGGGACGAAAAGAAAGGGCGGGGAAGTGAGACAGGATAGGGAGCCAATAAAGGGAATGTTCGCCAGGCACAGTAGCTCACACCTGTAATCCCGGTGCATTGAGAGGCAGGAGGATTCCTTGAGGGCAGAGTTCAAGACCAGCCTAGGCAACATCGTGAGACCCTGTCTCTACAAGAAATAAAAAAAATTAGCCGGTTACAGTGGCACGTGCCTGTAGTCCCAGTTACTCAGGAGGCTGAGGTGGGAGGATCACTTGAGCCCATGAGTTCGAGGCTTCAGTGAGATATGATGATGCCACTGCACTCCAGCCTGGGTGGCAGAGTGAGACTCTGTCTCAAAAAAAAAAAAAAAAAAAAAAGAGGGAAGGGGGAATGTCTGCAGGAGACCGTGCTCCCAGAGAGGCAGGTGCTCAAGCTGTCGGCCCATAGGAAACTGTCCACCAAAGTCCCAGGACTTGGTGGGCATGGACTCTCTGCTCCACTAACCCAGGGTGGGGCAAAGGTGCAGAGACTGGGTGGCGTGCAGGGGTCTGAGAGCCAGGGGGAGGTGGGAGTAGCTGCCATGCCGTGCAGCTGTGTGAGCGGGCGGAGGCGGAGGGGGCTGCCAGGCCAGGCAGAACTCACACGTGCTGAGAACTACGTGATCCATTGTAGAAGCACCTCCGGCTGCAGCACGGACGGCAATCTGGAGAGGGTGAGAATTACGATAAGAGATTGGGTGGGAGTTTCTTGCCCCAGACAAAACTCGGGGTGCTGTTTGGAATGAGGTAAGATGTTGAGCAACCAAAAATGAGTGAGAATCTGCTAGAAGAAGACAAGCCGGAGAGTAAGGGCACACCCTGCAAGGCTGTTGAAGGGCAGAGATGACGCCAGCTGGGCCTAGGGAGGTGGTGGTTGAGTTGGGGGGGGGCAAGTATGGAATCCAGTGGGACACCCACTCGCTGTCTGCCTCAGCTCACACCCTCCCGCCCCTCTGCCTGCTGCCCTCCCATCTCAAGACAGGGATGAGACAGCAGCCCCCCTCTCTGCCTGGGGGTCTTTTGTGGCTGCTGCTGAGCTCTCAGCCAGCTCAGGGTGCAGGTTGGAAGCTCTAGGGGGTCAACTCCCCCCTAAGAGCACCGTTCAACCACGAGAGGCAGAAGTAGGTGATGAGACAATAGGAGCGACACTTGAAAGAAAGGCGGGTGTTTCCTTTTCAGAGGTGTAGCCATTCGAGCTCCCGGGAGTGAGTGGCAGAAACAGACTCTGGCAAACTCATGGAAGAACAGCACTTGCTGGGAGGCCCCCGGGACTCCTCAAACCTGTGTACGCTGAAGGACTAGGCTTGAGAAACAGACAGGAGCCAGGATGGATCTAGGTGGCCAGGCAGCAGGCCTACTATGTCGGGGGCCTACTGTGTGCCATTGTTCAAGTGCTGTGTGGACAGAGTAGTGAGCAAGGGGCCACCCCTCATCCTATGGGGAAGACAAGCAATGGCACATCCACAGGCGAGAGAATGGCAGGTGGGGTCAAGAGCTTATGGGGGTAAAGGAAGGCCTGGGGCCATGCAGGGCATGGGGGTTCTGTTCAAGTTGGGGGGATATGGAAGTCCTTTCTGATGATACGATCAGACGAGAATCAAGAAGGTACAGCCATGCAGATCTCTGGGGACGAGCATCCAAGAACAAGGTGGGGCTAGAACAGGCTCAGTTCCCCATGGGGACAGTTAGACCCAGGGTGGCTATTTACTGAGCAGGCCATAGCAGGGCTGCAGGTTTTGAGTGAAATGGTGAGCCGCTGGGAGGATTTGAACAGGGGGACGACCCGATCTGGTTTGCATGTTGAAAGGAAGCCTCCGACTTCAGTGTGGAATATGGATTGTACCGTAGAAGCACCTGGAGGGAGCCCAGCCAAGAGGCTCCCAAGGAGGGGTCCCAGCCACACGTGATGGGGTTGAGGGAGCCTTTGCAGTAGGAAGTGACAAGTGACCAGACTCGAGGCATTCTTTGGGGGGGGTGGAACTGACAGTGCTAATAGGTTAGATAAAGTATGAAGGGAAAGAGAGGGGTTCGAGAACTCCCAGTGAGATGCTGGTCACTGGTCAGCAGACGCTGGGGTCACACCAAGACACACAAGACCTCTAGAACAATCTCTAGTGCTAGCTCCAACTATCCCCCATTTTTGTGTCTCTTGTTCAAGATCCAAAGTCCTGGAATGTCACATGCATTTTCCCTAGTGGCACTGAGAGAGACAAGGCTTCTCAGGGAATGCCCCAGACGAAACTTGGGGTGCTGTTTGGAATGATGTAAGATGTTGAACCAAAGAGTGAGAATCCACAAGAAGGAGACAAGCCTGAGAGTGAGGGCATGACCTGCAAGTCTGTCGCAGGACAGTCGGC